ACGGGTTGCGCCCATGCCTTCGGATTATTCTTGTAACCGCCCCCGGGTCTGGCTTGGCCACCTCGGGAGCGATCGTTGTACTGTGGCTCTCGGTTGGTCGGAGGGGGAGGCCCTCCGGGCCGATTCCTACCTTCATTCTTCTGAGAAGGATCCGTGTTGCGGCGGTCCTTCTCGATTTCCTCCGCTTCAGCATATCGGTCCCCCCGCTGAAGGGCCTTTGTATAATGGCGGGGGGGATCAGTGATAAGGCTCCGGGAGAAGTTACCGTTGCGGAGGACGGTGTGGAAGAGGGCCATTAGTGTCCTGTCATCAGCGCCTTCGACCTCGAGGGAGGCCTGCCTCCAGCGTTCCAGGAAACTCCGAAGGGTTTCCTCCTTCTGTTGTCTCACGTTTAGGAGGTGGGAGAAGTGCTTCTTTGAGCGATGCCTCCCAGCAAATTGCGTAAGGAAGCGGTGGGCAAGTTCTTGCCAAGAATCAATGCTGCCTTCGGGCAATCGGTTGAACCACTCATACGCGGGTCCCTCCAAGGTGGAAAGGAACCAACGGCATAAGTATTCATCCGAGGCCCCCATCATCATCATGCTATTTTGATAGCGACTATAGTGCTCTTGGGGATCTGTCTTCCCCTCATACGGTTTGATGGGTTGCCCGCGATATTTGTGGGGGATTTTGGCCGCCAACACCCTTGGGGTGAAGGGTGTTCTAGTGCGGAGTTGAATGAGGGGCTCGCCTGAGCCTTCGGCAAGCTTACGCTTCATTTCCTCCACCTGCGCCCGGAGGTCGGCGTACTCAGGATCTGGCCTTGCTGTGGAAGCCGTCGGGGGTCCCTGACGATTCTCCTCGAGTTGACGGAGGAGGGCCTCAATGATTTCGTCCTTGGGATCCTTCGGGGCAACCCCTTGGGAGTTGGCCCGGAAGGATTGCGCCTGTGTGATTTGGTGCCTGGCGTCATCGGCACGGAGGAGAGCTTTGCCTCTGCTTCGGGGGGGGGGGGGGAGGCACGCCTTCGGCACCCAAAGCGGAGGCTCCACTTTCCTGCGGCCTGCTGAGCGCTTGCTTCCCGAGGCGGTCTTGGACCCCTCGGTGTCCGGGAGCTCCCCCTAGCCTCTCAAGTGCGGAGGTTCGGGGTTTCTCCTTCATCATGGGGCGTTTGTCCTTGGATTGGGCCTCTTGGGAGGCGGTATCCTGTGCTATGACCCCCTCGGCATTGCCAACCCCCGGGGGAGGGTCGTTGAACAAAGGAGGGAGTGGCGGTAGGTTGATAACATTCCCCCCCAGCATAGGGCTGAAGGGGTGCCTGGGAGACGAGGGCTCCGGAGTTGAGAGCCATGTTTTGAACAAAGGCCGCAAAGGCTGTCTGAAGATCGATGGCCGGGGCCGGAGGGGGAACTTGGTTCTCACTCCGATCCCTCCTTCGATTATCAAGGCCAATGCGGGCATCAGGGGCGTTCTTCTGTAGCTGCTGACGGAGGTCAGCAGTAGCCTGTTCCAACTCGAGGATGATACCACCCTCGGGTACCAAGAGCCTGTTGGAGGCCTCAGCCCCGTTAGTTTCGCCGGGGGCTACGTGGTTCTCCTCTAGGGTTTTGGATTGGGCACGAGTGGTTCTTCCCATTTTTGGTGAGTGTTTCGTATTTGGTAGAGGGGGAGGGTTTCTTACTTGATTGTTCTGACCTCTCAATGAAAGCACCAAATGATGGATAGTCTACCCGGGGGTATCTTATCCGAGGGGTTATTGCGGGAATAACTAGAGAGAAGTCAGAGCAAAATAGGAGGAGAGAGAGTCGATTTTATTAAAATGAACTCAGCGTGTGGAGTTGAGATGTAGATGTCGATTACAAGGAGAAATGGGCTGCTATTTATAGCAGCAATAAATGCGATGAGAGTACACGTGTCAGTAATCTAACGGCCGAAGGGTCACATCAGCCGGGTGGCACCGGCAGTGGTACGTTCACCGCATTGAATGCGGTTGGCGGATGCGACGTGGCATTAAATGCGGTGGTTGGCTGTCTCTAAAAGGAATCTTCGATGATTGAGAGTGTTTGGCCGAAGGCTCCTTGTGTGGCCGAGGGCTCCTTGTGTGGCCGAGGGCTCCATATGGTAAGGACCCTTGTGTGGCCGAAGGCTTGGTTCAGCCGAAGGCTTTTCTGATACCGAGGGCATGAAAATGCCGAAGGCCAGTGTTTTCGCCCGTTTTCTCCCAGCAGCTTTTTATGCCAAAAAGGCTATCCTGTGAGTTCTGGAGCCTTCGGCCAAGGAGGCCGAAGGCATCCCAGTGTGTATTCTGAGCTATTTCGAGGTTTGGGCCATTACACTTGGGCCTGAGTTGTTCTCTGGGCCCTATGGACTTGTGTAGGAGAAGTAGGAGTCTATGGGCCGGGGGTTCCTGGGCCACATACTCCATCAATTGTCTTAGTTTTTTTGGAAATAACTACAAGCGGGTACCTACAACTAAAACGTGTGTAGAATTTTTTTAATTTTTTTCGCACGATCTAATTTTTCTTTTCTTATAAGCTTATACTACCTCCGTCCCAAAAAGAGTTGCAAATTTGACTTTTCTTAGTCAAACAGTCTCGTTTTGTTCAGTTAATTAGGACGTCAATTTTTAATTACATTCTAATTTGGAGTTTACAATTTTGAAGAGATTTTGATGTAGTTTTTGAATATGTAAATTTTAATTATTAAAAATTGAATTAATTATCCATAGGGAGGGTTGACTTTTATTATTGGTTGACAAAAAAATGTTGACTTTGCAAAACAAATTGGGACGGAGGGAGTATTATATAATCAAATTTACAACATATAAACTCTACTATGTTTTTTATTTGGAAAAATAACACATCACATATAAATACCATCATTATAAAGCATAATATTAAAAAAATTGTTACTATATTCTAGATATATATCCCGTGCATCGCACGGGGATTGAGTTTAGTACACTTATATACGAGTAGATGTTATTTCTCGCTACCTTTTTTTTTGGATGAAATGTAAATATATATTAACACCCAGAAAACTATACATTAAGATCTCCTACCCCCCCCCCCCACATAGTGTGAGGGTGAGAAGAGGTTTTTCTTCTATCTACTCCATGCCAAAATAACCAAGTATAATTACTCGGCCCATCAGAATATAATCCAAAATACATCGGTGCCGCACATGCAAGCACACAGATCAGAGGCTAAAATCTAAGAATTACACAGGTGTTGCAAGAAACAAAGACCCAAAAACCATCAAGGATCTTGTTTATGCCGCGGCATAACTAGAGCCCATGTCTTGATCTTCTAAGTTCGGAATCCAGTCCCGGACGCTTCTCCATGCCACAACATCCATAACATACATGTCGTGTAGTAGTAGAGTCCCTAGGCCGCGACATCCATAATGTCCATGCCGCGGCATATGTGTAACATGGAGCCGCGTCTAAGCAGCAAACCATGTCCATACTGGCAGTCTTCTATGCACCATGGCTCCCAAAAATTACTTTATGTCCACTTCTAAAAATAGACCAACTCATGCGGGTAGATACTGAAAAGGATCCTGTACACCACATGTTTGATTTTCATTATAATATCTTCTTCGGTCTTCTTGCCATCATCAAATCTGATTACATTTCGTGCATGCCAAATGTAGTAGACAGTCGCACAAAACGCAATTCGAGCTGCCTTAGCCTTCAACTTCGAACCTTTGTGCGTCTTTGTGATCCATTTGACTGCGCTAAGCATTGTCGTCATCTCATGCCGTAGTCCCATCCAGTTCCGGATATGCTGCCATACCTTACAAGTAAAGGGGCAAAGGAAAAAAAGGTGTGATATTGTCTCCAAACCACCCTTGCATAAGTCACACCGATTCACAATATGGAGATACCTGAGGCTATCCTGCGTAGGAAGTCGGTTTCTCAAGGCCAACCATACATTGAACGAGAATTTTGGGGGATGTAGGATTTCCATATGAAACTCATAGGTGTCCTAGCTCCACCCTTAACTCTCAACAGCTCATAAACCTTAGCGGAGGCTAATTTACCATTCGTGGCGCGAGAACTAAATCCCAAAATCATATCATTGTGGTTATTAAAACAACACTGAATCCTGTCCCGAATGAGACTCAACCGCTTCATTAGCTGTGAGTCTCGGTTGTGTGGGACAAAGTCCCACACGGTTCTACCCTTAAGATAGACACCGTTCACCCACCTCACCCAAAGGATGTCTTTCTTCATGTGGACGTCCCAAAGGGTGCTAGAGAGGAGGGCATGATTGCACACCTTGGCATCAAGAATGCCAAGACCCCCTTCCTCTTTAGGAAGACAAATGTCATCCCAAGCCACCTTGGCAAACTTACCACCCCAAAGAAAAATACGGCAAATTGAGACAATTCTATTTAAAATAGTTTGAGGGACGGGGAAAACCTGGAGCCAGAACGACTGGACCCCTTGGATCACCGATCGGATTAGCTCAATTTTGCCAGCATAGGACAGTGTTTTGGTATTCCATGCCTTTAAAAAATCATTGACCGTGTCAAGTAAGGGGCATATTGTGCAACCGAGATCTTAAGTGGGGCAAGAGGTATTCTAAGGTATCTAACCGGAAATACGCCTTGCCCATAATCAACAATATCCAAAATATTTTGAAGTTCTTGTTCCATCACCCCACCCACGAAAATATTATTTCTCGCTACCTTATCAATACAGTTTGCGGATGGATGAGAGAGTTGGGCAGGGTATTGTATACGATAGCACTCCGCAATTGCAATCCGTTTCGGTACACACCAGTCACTACTAATAATAATGCTCGCAGCGGTGAAGGATAATGCCGGCCATTTTTAAGTGAAAATGCCGCTGTCATTTATTAACCTTTCTGCACAAAAGTCGAGGGAAAATAGAGGAAACCCCGAATATAGGTATAAGATATTCTTAATCACGGCGCTTGTATACACTCCACTCCGTATGTATGTATAATAATAAATAAATGGTGTAGAGAGAGAAAGGAGGCATGAAGGGCGTAGTACCAAGCATGATCTGAACAAGAACCAAGTAGAGCAAGAGAACAGACAAAACAACATCAATCAACAATTGGGAAAACAATTGTTTATGTCTCACAAAAAAGACTCTTGTTTTCTTGGCTACAAGGGGGAAAGAAATCTTCTTTAAAATATTAAAAAAACAAAAAAAGGAAAAGGAGAGGAGGGACTGGGCTCCTCCAAACTCATCATTGTGTCTTCAATCCGAAGCCAAAAGAGGGAGGAAGACTATGTTGTGATTCCACACTCTCTTTTCCCCACCCCCAACTCCAACGGGTATTGTTTTGCATCTTCACCATTCTCCCACTCATCTTCATGCCCTTTTCTTCTTTCCTTATCGCTAACCAGACCCACACTGACACAGGTTCTCTCTCTCCTTCTCCCCATACGTATGTCAATTCTTTTGTTTTAGCTCAATTTTGAATCTTTCATTTCATGTATCTCTGCAAAATTTTGTTTTCCTTCAAAAAAGTAAAAATTAAGACTTTTTTTTGTGTTCTTCTTTACTTCTGGACATTGAAATTCGTTATTTGTATGTATTGAATCATCTCGGGGTTCTCTCTTTTGGTTGGTTGCTCCCTGGATCTGTGATTTGTTCGTGTAGGGATTAATGTTCACACATGTTGTTGTAATCAATCTTGTGTTATATTCTGAGTTCGGAGCTTAAATTTCTGAGATCTGTGCTGTGGCGAAAAGTGTTGATTAGATTGTTCTTGCAATTTATCGTTAGGGTTTAGTTAGTCTAGATTGAAAGTAAGAGCAAAAACAAAAACTGCGACTTTCCTTCATCACTGTGCAGCTTGAAAATGTATACCTGTAGAAAAGTGTGACACTGAAATTGGAAATTTATTCTCTGCATGAGCTTTTTGCTACAACCATTTAATGAACATGTTGCTGCTCTTCATATAGGCCTAGGATCACTCTTGGCTGCATCCCCAACCATTGCTGCAATGCTTAAGCAAATTCTTGCGAAAATTCCTCGGAAATCCCAGAAATCTGATTCAAAGGATCCCTCTGTGACCAAACCTTTAAACAGCAAGACACCCATGACAGATACCGGCGATGGGCTTCAGTTCACAAATAGCTGCAATGTGATAGCCAACCAACTAAGTGTAGTGAAACGCATGTCGTCTGCAATCTTCCCCGTGGCAGGAGGGGAGTCCATTGGGCCCCACATGTGCTTCAAGGATGTCTCGAATGGGGAGAAGCAAGGCCTGTTCTTGAGCAAGCTGAACCTCTGCTGCTCCGTTTTTGATTTCAGTGATCCAGAGAAGAACGCGGCAGAAAAAGACCTGAAGAGACAGGCATTGATCGATCTCAACGACTTCGTCACCTCTGGGTCTGTTAAATGCACTGAATCCGCCATTGCTGCAGTCTGCAAAATGTGTGCTGTTAATTTGTTTAGAGACTTCCCTCCCAAGTACTCCCCCTCCCATTCTGCTCGAGGTGAGGGTGAAGATGAAGAACCACTATTCGACCCTGCGTGGTATCACTTGCAGCTGGTGTACGATCTATTCCTTCAATTCATAAGCCTGACGTCTCTTGATCCGAAGGCAGCAAAGAAATATGTGCATCACTCCTTCATAATAAGACTGCTCAACCTATTTGACTCCGAGGACCCAAGGGAAAGAGAGTGCCTTAAATCGGTCCTCCACCGGCTTTATGAGAAGTTCATGGTGCACAGGCCTTTCATCCGAAATGCGATCAGTAACTTATTTTATGGCTTTGTGTTTGAGACTCAATGGCATAATGGGATTTCAGAACTGCTGGAAGTATTGGGAAGTGTGATTAGCGGTTTCGCTTTGCCCTTAAAAGAAGAGCATAAGGTGTTCTTCTCCAGGGCTTTGATACCCTTACACAAGCCAAAAGCATTGGGCATGTATCACCAACAGCTGGTATACTGTGTTGTACAGTTTGTAGAGAAGGAGCAGAACCTGGCCAGCGTTTTGGTAGCAAAGCTTTTGAGATATTGGCCTGTGAAGAATAGCCAAAAGGAATTGATGTTTATTAGTGAGATCGAAGAGATTATGGAATTGATGAAGGTTTCTGAGTTTCAAAAGATCATGGTCCCACTCTTTCGGCGTATAGGGTTTTGCCTCAATAGCTCGCATTTCCAGGTATTATTACTCTCTTTTGTTAACAGCATATAATATGATGATGAACTCAAGCTCTCTGTATCATTTTTTTCTTGTTTGTCACTATGGACAATTAACTAGGAAGATAAGGGAGCCATTTTCATGAAGCAGTTCTTTTCTTTTTCCTGTTTTTGTGCATTAACACTCTTATATGTTTCAGGGGGGAATTTCCACACAACATTTCCTGTAATAACTTATTTGCATGCAATTAATTGCAGCCCAAAAGAAGCATCATTGAAATCTAGGAAAAAAAGCTTAGCTAATATAGGTTTGGTAACACTTTTATTACTAACAACCTAAGCTGAAACAAAACAATAATTACTTTCCAAAAGCAGCTTGTTCCTAACCGCCATTACTCCTAAAGTAATATATTTGGAAATGCTATGGTCCATTTTTTCATATCCCATTCGAAAGCGGATAGTAGTTTAAGGGAGGTATTAAACGTAAGGGGTGCATATCTGGTATGTGTGTTGGATGACTTGAAAGGCAGGTATTTTGTTTTTAAATTCTAAGGAAGTCATAATTTCACTTTGTTTGACTCTAGACTTATCACTTATGGGAATGCCATTGCATATTAGTTTGTACCAACTTGTCAAGATTTTACAGGTAGCAGAAAGAGCACATCTCTTGTGGAACAATGACAACTTCCTTAACCTGGTGACGCTCAACAAGGATGTGATGATGCCCATTGTAGTGTCGGCATTAGAAAAGAACAACCAAAATCATTGGAACAAGTCCATTCTGAACCTGACTCAAAATGTGAGGAAAGTGATACTGGAGATGGACGAGGAGCTTGTTCTTGCTTGTCAAAGAAAACTTGAGGAGGAAAAGTCGACATCAGACATAGTTGCCGAGAGACGGAGGGTGAAATGGGAACATCTTGATAGTATTACCTCTACCCCTATTTCTTCTCTAGCTAAGCCACCTTTCAATTGCCTTGTTGCTACCTGTTGAATTGATGAATCAACTCTACCTGGAATGCTTACTCTTCTGAATTTTTTATGGAAGAAACATCCACCCGCCAGCTTCTTCAAGAGCGCTCTTACAATGGCTAGCCAATGGGGTGAGCAGCAGCAGCATCAATATCAGTTTGATATGTGTCAGCCTCTTTTCTTGAACTGATGAACTGTAATTTCTTGCCAATATGATCAAGTCAGTCTTTGAATCATGTCCTGTAAATAAGTCTTTAAATGAGTGAGTTAAGCAGGTAGTCCGCCACAGTAAGTTATTGTTCCTATATGACTACTCATTATTGGCAGTATTATATCTATGTTAATATAGATTTACATGGTTCTCGAATCTTACTCTGCAAATTCCTGTTTTGGTCCTAACATTTGAAAAGAGACTTGAATCAATGCCAAACAAATTATTTCCAATTACAAACTAAAATATATTGTTGGTAAAATGGTAAATAGTTAAATACTCAAAAGATTTCAATCCTAGCACTGTCTATGTACATGCATCTATACACTTAATTTCACTGTTAGCTCATTAATGCAGTTGGAGTAAACAATTTTTTGGGTAAATCTCTTTCACTGTTAGCTCATTAATACAGTTGGAGTAAACAATTTTTTTTGGATAAATGTTTGCTCAGTAAACACTTTTATGTCATAAAGTATTGCCTCGTAAGTACATCACCCCACATTTTTACTAACATGTTACTTTTACATATCGATAAGAACTCTCTCTTTGCATCTTACAATGAAAGTTGCCGGAGCAGCCCCACTCCATATTCCAACCCTACCTTCAACCCCTACCCTCTTGTGCCCCCTACCTACCCTTTACCCTAACCCCACCTCACCCCTACATACATACCCCTACCCTACTACACCTCCCTCACCCACCCCACCACCTGCCCCAACCTACCACACCCACCAGGTGCAATGCTATTGCAATGAATTTACTTACTTACACCTAGGAGTGGACCTGGACCCGGTATGGCGGTATGTTCTCTCTATGGTCTTACTTCCGGTTCGATCGACGACTTTCCATTTCAAAAAACTTTTCATTTTCGAGAAACTTGGGTTTTTCGAGAAACTTTGAATTTTTGAGAAACTTGGAATTTTTCGAAACGCTTTTCATTTTCGACAATTTTGGACTCTTTGAGAAACTTTGTATTTTCGAGAAACTTGTGTTTGTTTTAAAAAAAAACTGCCCATTTTCGAAAAGCTTGTTTCTTTTCAAAAAAACCACATGTTTTTAAAAAAAAATTGGACCTTTTGAAAACCCAAAGTCCAGACTTGCGACCTAGGTACCATGGGTGACCCAAATTACCCAATGGGCGAGCCGAAAGACCAATTGAAGGTCCAACCACATGTGGTCCAGTACTTCAGCCATGGTGTGAACCCATATGATCCTTAGTGAATTATTACCTGACCAGGAGGGGTTCAGTGAAGTTGAATACTATTGCTAGTCATACTTAGATAAAACGTATGATAGAATAGGGATGAGTGAGTGACCCGGGACTAGGAAAATCCCATCAACACTCGGATGGGTGAGTGACCTAAGACCAGAAAAGTCCAACTTAAAACTCCTAGTTAGGGGTGGGCACGGTCCGCTCCGGTCAAACTCCTAGTTCGGTTCGGTCTTAGACCTAAACCCGTTCGGTATGGTTACATTTTCAAATGGGATGGTGTCATGCCATACCAATACCAAACAATGTTGCCTTTTTCCAAGTGTTTAAGAGAAAATTAAAATCTAGTCATCCTCCAAAAATCCACACAATTCATCAATTTTCATATTACATAATTAACTTCATCCCTTTATTGAAGTCACAATTTGATTTTTTAAGTCAAACATGTTAAACTGTGACCGCTTATTACTAAAAAATAATAATGTTTAATCATACTTCGGTCCAGTTCGGTCTGGTACCGGTTCTCATTTTATTAGAACCGGTCATGGCATTGTTTGGAACCGGTACGGTTCGGTTCGGGATGAAAATTTTGAACTCCGTTTCGAACCCCATTTTTCGGTCTCGTACCATACCGGTTCGGTACCATGCCGGTTCAGTACTTTTGTTCACCCCTACTCCTAGTATGGGCATTCAAACTCAGGATCATGAAAGTCCAACTTAACACTTCTAGTATGGACTAGTCAAACCCAAGATCAGGAAAGTCCAATATAACCCTTATGGGTACGGGAGGGTGACTCAGGGCCAGATATATACAAACAATAGAATTTTGGGAAATATTGCCGTACCCCATTGGGTGCGTTGAGGTTATATTTATACTAAAGTAGAGTTTACGGAAATTACATAGTAATCCCTATAATTACATTATTACACCCCCTCAATCTGAGCAGGGGAAAACACGTGCAGATTGGAACGTAAAAACTCAAAACGCTGGCTAGACAAATTCTTAGTAAATATATCAGCTAACTGTAACTGAGTAGGAATGTGTTTGACAACCAAGTCACCATGCGCCACACGTTCCCGAACAAAATGATAGTCAATTTTGATATGCTTGCTCCGGTCATGCTGAATGGGATTAACCGCCAAATATGATGCAGACACATTATCACAGTAAAGCTGAACAGGAGCAGAAATAAAAATGCCCATATCAGCCAAGAGTGCACGAACAAAGAGTGTGTCCTGAACAGTATAAGCAATGGCCCTGTATTCAGCTTCGGTAGAGGATTTGGACACTGTGGGTTGCTTCTTGGACCGCCAGGATACTAAATTAGAGCCAAGGAACACGGCATACCCAGTAGTGGAGCGTGAGCTGTCTGGACATCCTGCCCAATCTGCATCAGAATATGCCATAATAACAGAAATATTTTTGTCTGATTTAAGCCATAGGCCGTGGCCTGATGTTCCCTGTAGATATCTGTAAATTCTTTTCACAGCCAACAAGTGAGTGGTACGTGGAGCATGCATGAACTGAGATACCAGGTGAACAGCATATGTAATATCAGGTCTAGTTATAACTAAGTACTGTAAAGCCCCTACCATGCTGCGGTACTCAGTGGCATCAGATAAAAGTTCCCCATCTGTGAGGGAGAGAGTGGTGCGTGAGGGAAGTGGAGTACGTACCGGTTTGACGGTATGAAGATGAAAGCGGTGTAAAAGATCAGAAACATATTTTTCTTGGGACAAGAAGAGACCGCGAGATGTTCTGCGAGCCTGTATACCCAAAAAATAATGAAGGTTTCCCAAATCCTTCATAGCAAATTGTCGAGACAAAGTATGAATAACAGAGTTAACAAAGGAGGGAGAAGAACCAGTGATCAAAATGTCATCCACATATAAAAGAATATAAACAACAGTGGTCTGCGAATGATAAACAAACATGGAGGAATCAGATTTACTCTGAGAAAAACCATGACCCAATAGAAAACCACTAAATCGATGAAACCAGGCCCTAGGAGCTTGTTTAAGACCATACAAGGCCTTACGCAGCCGACACACATGAGTAGGAAAAGAAGGGTGAACAAAACCTTGTGGTTGACGCATATAAACCTCTTCAGTCAAATGACCATGCAAAAAAGCATTTTTCACATCAAGTTGTCTAACTGACCAACCTAAAGAAACAGCAACAGACAGAACGAGACGAACCGTGGTGGGCTTGACAACAGGACTAAATGTCTCAGTGAAATCAATGCCAGCCTGTTGTTTAAAACCCTGAGCTACTAATCGAGCTTTATGCCGCTCAATAGACCCATCAGAAAGATATTTGGTCTTAAAAATCCACTTACATCCGACCACATTTTTAGTAGAGTCCCAAGGTACCAATTCCCAAGTACCATTAGCAATTAAAGCATTAAATTCATCAGCCATGGCTGCCCGCCAAACAATACTCTTATTAGCCTGTGTGAAACAAGTTGGATCATCGGGAGGAGCAGTGGTATTTAAATTAAAAATCGTTTTTGGTTTGAAAATGCCATCTTTTGCCCGAGTACGCATAGGATGAATGTTCATGAGTGGTGGTGGTGGACTGCCGGGTGGGGACAAGACGGCAGTTTGTCCGTCCGCCGCGGGTGTCGGTGTAGCAGCATTCAAGGGCGTAGACAAACTGCTAGGGGACGTGGTAGGACTGGTCGGAGTAGATGGAGTGGGTGGTGTGACTGATTCGGATGAAGTAGTGGTCTGGTTCGAAGATAGTGACGGGGTGGTATCCGGGAAAGGATGAGGGGACACAGCTGTTGAGTGGCTAAGGTGATTGGTCGGTGTAGCTAACTGAGACGGTGGCGGAGATATGATGGGGAAAGATTTCCAAGAAAATGGTAAGGCCACCGTGGACGCAACGGGTGTATTAGTAGGTGTATTAACCAACATGGGATAAGGAAAAATGTTTTCATGAAAAATAACATCCCGACTAATATAAACCCGACCCGTGCTTGGAGAAAAACAACGATAGCCCTTGTATCCCGGGGCATAACCAAGAAAAACACAATGTATGGAGCGTGGTGATAGCTTATTATGAGAAGCAGCGATGAAGTTGGGAAAACAAGAGCATCCAAAAACTCGTAAAAAATTATAATCTGGAATTTTATTAAAGAGTTTTTCAAAAGGAGTAAGCCCATGTAGAACTGGTGTAGGAAGTCGGTTTATAATAAAAACAGCCGTATATAACGCATCGACCCAGAACTGACCAGGAACAGAGGAATCAATCAACAAAGTTCTAGTTAATTCTAGTAGATGTTTATGTTTACGTTCAGCTACACCATTCTGAGCAGGAGTGTCAGGGCATGACTTTCTAAATAAAATTCCAGAGTTTAAAAAATGTTGTTTAAAAACTGAGTTATCAAACTCCCCGCCACCATCACTTTGAAAAATTTTAATTTTCAAATCCAACAGATTTTCAACAAGTTTTTGAAAATTACAAAAATGAGTAAATACTTCAGATTTTCTGCGCATAGGATATATCCAAGTATAACGAGAGAAATCATCAATAAAAGACACATAATATTTAAATCCAAGGTTGGATAAAATTGGTGATTGCCAAACATCAGAATGTATAATTTGTAAAGGTGCAGTAGAATCATGAAGAACATCCGTGAAGGGGAGTCTGTGGGATTTGCCCAACTTACAAGAAACACAATCATGTAAAAAGGAAGAAGAACTAGTAATCAATTTTCGCTGCCTAAGACTACCAAGAACTCTATCACCACAATGCCCCAGACGCTTGTGCCAGACTGGACCAGGGACAATACGGGCTTGGAGGGCATGAAAAGGATAGACATGGTCTTTATTGGTTGCCTGAAGAAGAAGCTCCCCCGTTTGATTGTCCTTAACAGAAAAAGAATTTTTATTAAAAATTACTTCACAGGCATTGTCCGCACACAATTTTTGTATAGATAATAAATTATATTTAATGTGAGGGACATGATAAACTGAGT